ACAGTCACAGTGTCCCAGGGGCACACGCAGTCACCTTGTCACAGTCACAGTGTCCCAGAAGCACACACAGTCACCTTGTCACAGTCACAGTGTCCAGGGGAAAATGCAGCCACCCTGTTACAGTCACAGTGTCCCAGGGGCACACGCAGTCACCCTGTCACACAGTGTCCCAGAAGCACACACAGTCACCTTGTCACAATCACAGTGTCCCAGGGGCACATGCAGTCACCCTGTCACAGTCACAGTGTCCCAGGGGCACATGCAGCCACCTTGTCACAGTCACGGTGTCCCAGGGCCACACACAGTCACCCTGTCACAATCACAGTGTCCTGGGGGCACACGCAGTTACCTTGTCACAATCACAGTGTCCCAGAGGCACACATATTGACCCTGTCACAATCACAGTGTCACAGGGACACAATCACTGTCACAAACACAGTATCCCAGGGGCACACGCAGCCATGCTGTCACAATCACAGTGTCCCAGAGGCACATACAGTCACACTCACAATCACAGTGTTCCAGGAGCATGCACAGTCACCCTGTCACAATCACAGTGTTCCAGGAGCCCACGCAGTGACCCTGTCACAATCAGTGTCCCTGGAGCACATTCACACTGTCACAATCAGTGTCACTGTCAAAAGCGCAGGACCTCAGAAACCCAGGTGGAACACTCAGTCAAGTCAACCACAGCTAGTCATCACACCCACAGTCAGAGCCCTGGGGGGACAGAACTCAGGTGGGTCAGAGGCTATACATCACCGCCCGCCCAATGCCTTCCCTACTACATTGTCGCCTCGGAGGAGGCAGGGACTCCCTCACCCTATGCTGGACAGTGCACCTCTCCGCACTGTTCTCTACCGCTGGGCAGCTCTTGCCCTCAGAGGGGGCTCCAACCCAACACATAGGCCCCAACACAGTGTAGCCCAAGACGCCCCCTCTGGGCTTCTGACTCCAGTGCTGCAGGGTGAGTCCGCAAGTACACCCCACCCCACACAGTCCTCCACCCCCTACAAGGGCCCTGAGACCCCTCCAGCCTGGAGCAGATTATGGTCCTAGCAGGTACCCCTCTAAGTGTCCCCAGGGCACCCCCAAGCACACTGAATCTAGCCTTCAATAAGGTGCCACCCGGAAGATCCCTCCAAAAAGCGCTACTCAGCCTATCCGCCGCCCTGCACTACCACCACCGAGGATCTAGACCCCTTAAGTTGCGGTCCCCTCCCCCAATCCAGGCCCTGTTGATACCACTCGTAACATGGCCCCCTCTACGTCCATCTCTGGACGGGATCCATCGGAAGCCTCCCGCACAGTGCACCGCCAGGAACGCGGTCCCGGACGCCCCCGCAGTAGACAGAACCCCCCCCCCAACGCCAAGCACACTGACCCCACCCGCGTCACAGCGCCCCCTGCGGTCGGCTGGGAGAGTTGCGTCCTCTCTGCGCGCTTATCCGCTCCGCGCGCGTCCACCGCCCAGGGTCTTACCGCCTGCAGCTACCTCCGCCCGCGCCGCCGCTGCCGGTGCCGTGGAAGGACGAGGGCCAGGACATGCGGGACTTGCGCAGGCCAGGCCGGTCGCTGGTATCCACGGCGTCGGCGCGTTCTATGGGCCGGTGCGGCGGCCGTTCGGGCTCTGCGCGCTCTGCGCTGTCCGAGTAGCCGCGCTGCTGGATACGGATAGGGGTCCGCGGCTGCCGCCACAGGTGCTGGGGGGGCGGCTTCAGGGTAGCCTGGCCCTCCCGGGGCCCAGGCAGGGACAGAGACAGGCTCCTCTCCGAGGGGGCGGCCGGGGGCTCCATGGCGCCGGCCTCCACCCGCGCCCCGGGGGCCCCGGCCTCTCCAAGCTGCACCTCGCTCAGCGGCTCGCGAGCCGACGCTTCCAGGGCCCCACGGGTGCACCCGGCCTCGGTGGGGCCATGGCGCCCCGGGGACAGACCCGGGGGCTCTGCGGGCCGATCGCCCCCGGGCCGGGCGCCACGGCTTCCTGTCCGCACCCGACGCTTCCCTCCGTGCCGGGCTGCGCTCTCAGCGCTCGGCGCCCCGCTCGGCGCCAACCCTGGCTCCTCCGCCCCGTCCCGCCCCTCCCCGC